CTCCCTTAGCCTCTATAGGACATAAATACTAGAAGGAAAATAACACGAGAAAACTATTTGAAAATAATGAAACCGTCAACATAATGTCTTACCTTAGAGAAATAGGTTTATATCAAAACATATAACATATACAATAGATTATCTACAAACTATATATATATAGATAAAATATACGTTTAGAGTGAAAGTATAAAATCCTCTCCAAATTATCTGAATCCATAAAATTGCGTTCAAAATATCTACAGTTCCTCATTAAGTAACCCATAGATGTCGATATGCCGCTCTGTTAAAGCAACTCAACCAAACCCTGAAAGATATAAGTACAAAGAAAAAAAAATGAGAAATAGGTTTATGTCAAAATATATAACATCTACAATAGATCAAATACAAACTATATATATATATATATATATATATATATATATATATATATATATATATGTTTAAACTGAATGAATAAAATCCTGTCCACATTATCTGAAGGTTTAAAATTGCATTCAAAATATATGTAACTGAATCCATAAAATTGTGTACAATATATTTACAGTTCATCATTAAATAACGAAGAGACGTTGACATGCCGCTAGAAAAGGAAGAATAAACGGGTAATACTAGCTCGTATACACGTACCTCACCCATTCATAGTAGCTGAAGACTGAAGATCAACCAACATGTATAATATGCCAAGCCGGACTCAAGGTGAAACGCATTTCAACTGAATTTACTCAATTAACCCCTATATGACATAAATACTACAAGGAAAATAACACTAGAAAACTATTTGAACATAATAAAACCGTCAACAAAATGTCGTACTTTAAAGAAATAGGTTTATACCAAACGATACAATACCTACAATAAACTACAAACTATATATTTGTGTGTTTGTATGCGCGTGTGCTGTTATGTGTGCGTGTGTTTATTGCCCGAAAATATCCTTTGCTACCTGTCACATTGACCATTGCCAGAGGTTAACACTAGATGAGAACAGTAGCGCCTGGCGTCTCACAATCAACCATGCTGTCACCTTCATTGAAAATACCTGCAGGGCCGCTCTCAGAGGCAAGAGTCAGAGTACGAAGTACTGCAACGCTATGCCATCGATTCCAAGCAATACTTTCAACTGGAAATGCTGCGACCGTGTATGCCTGCCTCGCACTGGACTTATAAGTCACAAACATGCATGTAATCGACGTGTACAAACTCCATATTGATCTTCGTTTTTCACACCAAAATAAGTATAAAAGTTCACGTAAACATATGTCTGTAAATCCTTCTTTTTTGAGCTAAGTTTAAAGGTTTACGGTTGGTGGCGCCCTGGTGCAAAGCATTTTTAGCTATTCTTTCTTCAAAGATTAACGTGTGAACTAGTGAGGTATCTGAGACGTCTTCCGTTTAACAGTGGCAGGATATTCATATCGTGAGTAGGCAGATATGATTTTTACATACGGTCGCGTGAATGTCTCAGAGGCTGTACGGATATATCAGATTGCGTTTTCAGACCGAAGACAGACGACCCATCCGAACTAAGCTGCTGTTTATCATCGCATGGTTGGGACAATATCCGTGTCACCACAAAGTATGGATCGAGAAAGACCGAAATCCATTCGTACGCCTGACCACAAAGAACACATGCAACAGGCTGTTGAACCCTTTTACCAACACACGTCACGTGCCCTTAGTGTGTTCTACATCTCATAGTACCAGATGGTGGCGTAATACAAGAGCAGATTCTGTATCTGCATCATGTGCAAAGTGTGTAGGGTCTTTTGTCCTCTGATCACTCAGGATGGAAAAGTTTTGACGATGGTTGATTGCACAAACTGCCAATCCGTTGTTTGTCGCTTCAGTTTTGTTCATGCACGAGTCAAAATTTGGAACAGAAGGAATAGCAAATGTACAGAACCAAAATTTGTGCGCGGATTGGAATCAACATGGTACAATACAGGCGAGATACCAGAATCAGTTTAAGATTAATATGTGGTTGGAATTGTAGGTGGCTGTCTGCTGGGTCCATATGTTCTCTCGGCACGTCTTACAGGCTCTATCTACAGGGAGTTTATTTAGAAAACACATTTCCAGACCAGGATAAATCACTGCTAATACACTGACGCATGTGTTTCATGCATGATGCGGTTCCAAAACATTTTAGTCATATTGTTCGCAATGCACTGGCTGACATCTACCATGAAAGATGGATAGGGAGGGGGAGGAACGGTCCAATGGCCTGAACGTTCATCTATGGGGCCACTTGAAAGAATTGGTTTATGCTGCAGTCATTAATAACACAGAGACGCTTCACCAAAGTAACATGGGGGATTGTGGAACTATTTGACATTCTGTGGGAGTATGTGAATGTGTGTCTTTGCCAGTTAATTAGCAGACGTGTGCATGCGTGTGTAGAAGAGTGCAGATGATATTTTGAATACTTTTTATGAGTATATATATTGTGGAATCGTGCATAGACTCTATCCTTTTGTGCACGCGCGTATTGCACCCCTTCCTTCCATTTTCGACTAGACATAGCAGTAAGCCAGCCTTTTGTTGCCGACAAGGTTACTAGCTGCTCCTGATACCATCTGGACTGGAATTTGAAAGCTTCCCGCCCATTTCTCTGACGTCACTGGCAAACTTTATTTTTCAAGTCAGTCGCGGCCTGTACCCAGAAGAAGAAGGTTGACTCATTTATTCCTTGCTCCTTACCCATACGCGGGCCGGAATATCTTAAATAACCAAAATTCCTAGTGACTCCTTGGCTCATTATGACGAATATTATCCTTGTGACCGTAACTTGTTTCGAACAACATGTTTGAACTTTTCTTCCATTTGCTACCGGAGAATGCAGAGACTATCACGTCTTTAAGTCCAATTCATAGTCCCTCAGCGAACAACTTGTTCAAAATTTTTTCTCCGTTCACTACGAGAGCTTCCGACACTGTCGCCATCGCACTTCTGCAAGATCTAATTCCTCGTTTTGATGCGAACAACTTATTCGAACTGTCCTTTATTTCTTACCAGAGAACATACTCTACGACATTGTCTGTACCACACCTTCAAGTCTAATTCCTAGTTCTCCAGCGAACAAACTTGTTCGAATTTCCCGCCGTTCACTATCAGGGAACGCAGAATTTTCTTCACTGAAGATTGATGAACTCTTCATACACCTCTCTCGATTTCTAACCTTCACGAACCAGTTTAAAAAAAAAAAGATAACATTACACACACATTATTAAACCTCGCAGTGAGTACTTTTCCTATTTGTGTACGCATTCACCTTTCGTACAAAAAAGACAATATTCCAGAACTTTCCTTCTGAAGAAACTTTTCCCGCCTTAGCCATCTTGTTTTTTTTTTTTTTTGTTTTGGCGCGGAACTTTAATATTCTCATCTTGGTCTTTCTGTTTTGGCGCGGAACTTTAATATTCTATTAGGCTCTACATATTACTAACGGCCTACAGGCTAAAAACAGACCTTACCTTTTTGATAGTCTCCACTGTTGAGACAAGATTATTTGTTATTAAAATAAAATTTCATATATGTTTTCCACCAGACTCATTTTGTCGTTTTCTCCTGGACAGCTATATTTTACTATTTTTGTGCATGTGTTAAATGACCCTTTTTTCCTCACTAAAGATCGCACATTTATTATTTTTACTTTGTTAGTGGATTCGGTCGTCATAAGTAGTGTCTGGCACAAGGACACCTTTTAGTAAAACAGCACTGCATGCTACCGGGCCCGCAACAATATATATATATATATATATATATATATATATATATAAAAATGCTATATATATATATATATATATATATATATATATATATATATATATAAAGGGTCTATCAAAAATATATATATATATATATATATATATATATATATATATATATATATATAAGGTCTATCAAAATACTATATATATATATATATATAAATCGTTTCCTCAAGCAAAGTGATAACCCCGGTATTATTCAGGTACGTATAGGGAGTGAAATTCAAAGAGAATGAGAAGACTCAATGAAGGGACGATTGAGGGTACGACAAAAATGAACAGGGTTCAAAGCGTTTGAAGATGGCGATTGCCGTTGCATTTAAATTTTTGAAGATTGTTCTTGTCAGGGAAACAAGAAAACGGAAAGGATTTCAACATGTTGGAATTGTAAAAAAAATAAGAAGCTATTTGAGTAGATGTGGTGGTTGCATTTAGCTATTTCAGCAGTAAAACTGATGGAACTAATTGCCACTCTAGTAGCCCGCTTACATTCATGCAGTCCGGGCATCATCTGTGTACGGCCACAACACCTTGAAATATCGGTTCCCGTACGATCACCCAAAATGAATGCAACGACTTCGAATGGAATTCGAAATCCGTATGCCAATCCCCTTCTTATGGTCGATAGCCAATATGTTACCTGCACAGCCATTGTTATTTACCTGTTGTTCTATGTTTGAATTTTTGGGTGGTATAATGCATAATGGAAAATAATTATTAATCAGATAGACGAGTTCCAATCCTCGTTGGGTTACTTATATTCACTTAGGCGCAAGTACATGTGGGAAATATATAAATCCACGTCATCTCACCCTTTCTATGGGTTAATTAGTATTACTTGTATTACTAAAACCATTATTATCATTCAAATATTCTCATAGTCTTAAAATATTTTCTGGCCTTAAATAACTTGTAAATCAGTAGTAAACGAATCAATCAATAAGATTTGCATGAAACTTTGAGATATTGACCGAGACTAATTGTAGAATAATGGAAAACTGTTTCCTTAATGCCCCATTGAACGAAGCCGTGATCGAATTTTATTACCGACAATCCTAAGTTAGACGAAAATCTATTGAATAAGATTTATTACAGTGCAGACCTTGAATAATATGAACAGTTGATAATGAAGCTTATAAAGCCGATTACCGGAAAATATCCAGACATTTTTGAATATCGTTTCTACACAGCATCTTCAAATTTCTTTCTTGGAAAACATCGCGTTACAGGTTGGAAAATGAAGAAGTAGCTTGTGTTTACAAAGATAGGTGAGAAAAGAGAAATTGTGTTTAAAAAGAGAAGGGAGGGTGACTTTAGGAGGAGAGAAATCGAAATTAGGTTGGCTTTAAGAAGGGAAAGAGATGGCTTCTGGAAGAAATGTGGAAAAAGAGTATTTCGAATTAGGAAGAGAAGTGAGGTTGGCTTTAGAAGGGGAGTAACAGAAATTAGGTTGGCGTTAAGAACAGAAAGGTATGGCTTCCGGAAAAAAAGAGGAAAAAGTGTGGTTGGGTTTCGGAAGAGAAGTGAGGTTGGCTTTAGGGGGGTAAAAGAAATTATGTTGGCTTTAGGAAGAGAACTGGAAGAAAATTGGAGAAAGTGTGTTTGGATTTTGGAAGAGAAGTGAGGTGGCTTTAGGAGAAGAGAAATAGAAATTAGGCTGGCTGTAGGAATAGAAAAGTATGTCTTTCGGGAAAAATGGAAAAAAAAGTGATTGGGTTTAAGAAGATAATGGCGTATGACTTTAAGAGGAGAGAAATAAAAAAATAATTTGGCATTAGGAAGAGAGAGGTCTCGCTTCCGGAAGTGGAAAAAGAGTGGTTGGCTTTAGGAAGAGAAATGAGGTCGGCTTTAGGAGAGTAAGAGAAATTCGGTGGGAAATTGGGACGAGAAAGAAGGTTTGGTTTAGGACATGAAGTGAGAAAAAAGGCTGCATTTTTGCCAGAGATGTACGGAAAGTGAGATTGGGTTTAGGCGAGAGAACTAAGAGGAAATACTTCGGATTTAAATTGAATAGGATTTGAAATGGGCAAAATCAGATTCAGTTTAGAAAAAGATCGGATTTCGCCCCCACAATAATTCAGGGTTTATTTTTCACCGGTGATATTAGAGAAATATTTGAGATTTTGGACAAGATTAATTAAGGAGAAACGTAGTAAATGCAGTCAATCAAGGGAGAGGATATTGCTGATTCTTTTGAAAAGTAAAACCACAATTTATGATAGGAATGCAGTCGTAAGAGTAGTAATTAGGAGAGGGTAGAGGTGCCATTTTCCTAGGCGTAATAATATTTCACTAATTATTAGCTGTTTCTTATTCAGGCATAACTCATAGATTGTTAGATTGATTTATTGATCTGTTTTTAACGGGTTATCATTCGTTTGTGTGATACTTAAGGCGAAATGATATTTAGGATTGCAACAATAAATCATTTTTTTACAAGTTAATGATGCATTAACAGTTTTTTGGAGACAATGATTTTTCCTCATGGAGATCCTAGTATTTAGCCTAGAGATTAGGAGATGAAATGGGTTCATACCTCTTCCAAAGGTATTTGCATGGAAGTGGATATAATGAACCAGCCATTTCTTATTGTGAGCAGCTACTCTTTACACTACACGTTTATCTATCTATCTATCTATCTATCTATCTATTGGCACTTCCACTGAATTGTCAATGACTTAACGTTTAAAATTAAATTTTAAAAATGAAAACGAATTCTTGGAGATTTAATTTTAGTTTTAATTGAAAGCTAAATGATTAAATTTATCATTTCCAGTAAGTAAAATATTCTGCTGTATTTCAGATAGAAATTATATAGATTGGAATGTCAAATAATTGTTCGATTTTTATTTTTATTAAAAGCGGCCATTTTCTTAATTTAAAAGAAAAATTCAAAACACAAATTTATCTGTTTAAAAATCTTTCAAAATTAAATTATAGATTTGTGACACTTTATTTGAGTAAAATTAGAAAATTTAACGTTAAAATAATGTGATTATAATAAATATTACTTATAGCAAAAAAAAAAATATACAAGCATTTCTTATCGGTGCGTCCCTTCTTTCTTTTATCTTTATTGACTTTTCGAGAATCTCTCAAGGTAATGAATAGCTCTTATGGATGACCAAATATGACCTAAATTTACGAAACCTAAGTGAACGCATTTTTTTTTAGTTTTTAACTACCTAGTACGTTTTAAAATTAAAATATTTTCAGCAATTATTTAATGTTTTGTTGAATTTCAATTAGGTTTCAAGAAACTTTATGAAATTTGCATTTAGTCTCTAGGGCCTTATGTTTACTAGCTTAAACATAAATTAACGATTGAAATATAACCCAAACCAAAATAAGTACATAAAGTAAAAATATTTAGTGAAAGAGCAATTAAGAAAAATGAAACTTAAAAACACCCCTCCCACTGAAATTTTTTACTTTTGATTTAAATTAAATTTAAATTTGAACAAGGGAATGATTCCTATCGAAGATACAGTTAGAGAAAGCCAGAAGATGAAGGTTACATAGGCAAGATCAAAATGAGACAATAAGGACGTAGAGTTGAGCAAGAAATGACCAATCAGTGGGTTGTGTCTTACAATGCATATATGTTGCGACATTTCAACTGTTCTATCAACGTTGAAATCTGACAATCAATTCATTCAATCAAGTATTGCATCAAATACATATCAAAGGAGTCAGCAAAAGCTGTTTTCGCATAAAACTTTAACTTGATTTTCCCCTTCGATTTAAATGAAATTTAAAGTTGAACAAGGGAATGACGGCTATCGAAATTATAAGAGAAAGCCAGAATATGGAGGTCAGATCGTCAAGACCATTGAGTAATAGTGAAATGCATCATTTTTCTCTAGTAATTACGACAATGATTTAAAATGGATCATCATTTTCTCATAAAAGAATGTATGACACGCAACAATGCGCGGGTAATACGTCTATAAAAAATATAACATAACTATATATATATATATATATATATGATCTTGTTATGTATCTCTAGGCATATAAATTCGATGGATTTAATGCACATGAACAAATCAAAGAAAAATTGCTAGACAATACTTATTCTTTAATGATATTAACCTGATAATTGATCCATTTGATGAAATTATTCTCGCATTTCTTCCACCATCATCTATATAAATGTGCGTTTGAAATCTTGCAATACCTGTTGGGGTCCAGCATCTCAGTCTCTAGAACCAAAGAGTTAGACTATCCGCATATGAACTGATTATAACTGTGAAGGCATTTGCAGAACCAAACATATTTTGTGGAAGAATCAACTACAGAGGACTGTTGCTCTGGGTAAAACAAGTTCCTCAAACACCCTTCCTTGTTTTTTTTTTAGTTTAGAGTTTTCTTTCTCTGAAACCATTTCCTCTCCAAGTCTATAAGACCCGATCTGACCTGTTATTTACCCATAGCGGGTGGGGAGAATATAATGAACACGACTGAAATTCGAACTTGGCTCTTCGATTTCCCAATCCAAGCATCTCACCATTACTCCGCCATGTCTGATACATATAATTGATGTAATGAATATGCATACACCTGGGTTCCCCCTCACAGTAAATAAATACAGACTGATGTGGAGTTACATGAACTATGCCAATTGACTACGCCTATTGACTACGCCTATCACTACGATGAGGGCCAGTCCATTTCAGCTACATGCTAGATTGTCCTACCCGGTAACAGTAGCCCAAAACCACTTTGTTACTTCTAACAAATATATCCCTTTCCGGGATATATCGATAATATGTGCTTTCATCTTTGAGTTTTAATATTCTGCTACTTTTTGAAATGTTCTTGTAATCGAAATCCTAAAACAAATCTTAGTAGCTAAAAAGGGTTTATATGGTGGATATCAATCGTATTTAACCAGACACAACACAATAAGAGCTTTTGATGCAATGCTAGTTTTACCGATGGCACTGGTATCTTACTTTGTGATAACCACTGCTCTTTTTTTTTGTTTTTTTTTCTTTGTTTTTTGACAATAAAACAGTATTTTTCATCACCTTTAACAATGCAATGGAAAAATGAATGGCTGGCATTCCTGGTTAAATGATTGCCGCAGTAAATGGAATATCTTATCCCGTTATTAAGCGAAATCTGACGATGTCACCAATTTTCTTGTTTGCCAAATTAATCTCTGAAATGCATTGTCGAATTGAAGAGATAATAAACTAATTCTACACTCAAATGACGCTATGTTGATAGAAGACAGAGAGAGGAAACTACACTAATCCCTAATTAAGTTAGAAAAAGAAAACGAGAAGAAAGGACTAATGATTAATTGTAAAATTATAAACGGTACAACCCAAGGTGTAAATTAAAAAGTGAAGACTCTAAAAGCAAACAAGGTAAAAAATTTCAAATATCGAAACAGTTTTGTAGAAAAATGCGATGTCTTGAACCGAAGACATGTTGGGATATCAAAATATGCCTCCCAGAAGCTGAGCAAAGTATTATGAAATAGAAAAAAATTGGTAGAAACGAACACAAAAAAAACACTGAAATATTATGTAATATTGGTTCTGCTTTATGACAGTGAATGTCACTCTTCTCACAGAAAAAAACGAGGCCAAAACCTGGTTCTACAGAAAGATACTGAAAACACAATGGTCTGAACATGTGAGTAACGACGGTATTTTATATAGATTGATTGATTTTATTTTCTACAGTTTATCGACATATTGCCGGTCATTTAAAGCCAACATGTATTTGTAAATTGTAAGAAATTTTGGTGATAATTATTATTTGCTGTTTCACGTCCTAGTAATTAACCCATATTAGGGGGAGTGTAGTGTTTGATCCATATCATTCTCAAAAAGTATTTATACGTTAGTGAATATAAGGATATAGCGAAATGGGAAATACATTTGTCACTTATAATTAGATTCAGAAAGAATAAGTTGATATTTCTCGGGGACATAGAGAGAAGGATTAGAGAACTGGAGACTTCCAGATAAGAGTGGTTGAAGAAGGAAACTAACAATCTGCTTGTGTAAATGATTGACAAAACAAGGATTAGGAGCGCTAGCACAAAAGACACATATTACTAAGAGCTACAAAGGATAGGAACATTATTTCCATTATTCGGACTATTGCCCTCATCTTTGTCGCCATATTTATTACAACGTTTTGGCCGTTGTAATAAATATGGCGACAAAAATGAGGGCAATAGTCCGAATAATGTAAATAATGTACATAATACCACATCTCAGAAATATAGAAAGATACTAAAGGATAGGAAGTTATGGAGAGCCCTAATCGTTCACGCCTTGAAGAAGAAGATGCAGATCCCCATTTCAAGTGTGACTGTACCTTTTTTAATTAAATAATATCTCAGAGAATTAAAATAAGTAATTACTATCCGAATACACTTAAGGAAAACATGTATTTAGGAATATAAAGGAGACTGGGTTTAGTCAGAGAAATAATATAAAGGAGATTTTTTAAAGCGTTTCACCCCAAGCAAAGCATGCGTGCCACTAGCACGCAAAGGGTTACAGAGGATTGAGAACAAGAGTAAAGAGGCATTTTTCAGGAAAGGATACGAAGAAGGACGGGGAACAAGCTGAAGGTGCCAGATGTCGATTGAAATTACACTTGAATATTTGAAGATTATAGTCATCAGGGAAGCAAGTAAGGGCAAAGGAGTTCCGCAGACGGGAAGTGCGAGAGAAGAAGCTGTTTGAATAGAAGAGACGTTTACATTTAACGGTTTTGACAGTGAAAGGGTAGTACTGAGATGCCAGCCTCGTAGCTGGCTTAAATTCATGCAATCTGGGAAACAGCGAAAGTAGCTCGTCGGAACAGTTGCCGTGAAAATACTTGTATACGAGACAGAAGGAAGCCACAGCACGTCTGTTGGAAAGCGATTATAGGCTAGATGCCAGATCAGGACCAATCATATTGCATATTTTTATAGGGATTTTGCTGAGGACCTCGAGACGTACAGCGGGAGCACCAGTCTATATATGACAGCAATATTCCATGTAAGACTGATGGCTGGTTTATAGATTTGAAGGATGAACTCAGACGAGAAAAAAATTCTGGCACCTCACAGAGAACCAAATTTCCTTGCTGTAGATGAAGCTATTGATTCAATGTATTCATTTCACCTCATGTCTGGGGACAGCGTGAAACAAAGTAGGTGTAACGAGGCGCTCTCGAGGAGTTGGAAATCGGCCGTTCTGACGGGAGGCAGGAAGGGTTTTCTGTGGTGGGTAAAAGGGAGCAGTTTTGTTTTGGAGACATTAAAGTTTACAAGTCATTTTCTGTCCCAGTCAACCACAGATTGGAAGTCCTTTTCGAGACCATAAGCCAGATTAGTTTTGTCAACGATAGCAGATTTACAATTGAAGCAGGAGGAAATAGTAGTCCTGTCCGCGCAGTTGCCTACTTGGGAACTAATAACATCGGGATGGTTATTGATGAAGATCAGGAAAAGTATAGGGCCTAAGTTAGAGCCTTGGGGAACAGCGGCGTTCGTGATAAAAGAACCGATGGAGAACCCGTTTAGGAAGAGTAATTAAAAACAGAGATTGGTTTAAGGACGAGAAATGAGAGAAAGGAGGTTTGGTTTAGGAAGAGAAGCGAGTTGGGGAGTGGATTTAGGAATGCAAGTGAATGAAGGGAGGTTGTGGCTAGAAAGAGAAATAAAGAAACAGACGCCTGGTTACACGTTAATGCTTATTTACGATTGAGTTGAGAAGAGAGAACGTGTGTTTAGGAAGAGAAGTAAAATAAAAGCGGTTGAATAATAATAATAATAATAATAATAATAATAATAATTCTTCTTCTACCACCCATTCAAACGTGGTTCCACCTTTGTTAGCTCAATCTTAACGTATAATAAATAATTTATTAGGAATACACAGGAAAACAAGAATTTCAAATATAAATCTAGTCAGATTTTTACCAACTGTAAATTATGATTCATTTTACAAGAACCAAGCAATCCTGTGCAGTTTTTTTTTCTTTTCGACTAAAGAAAATACGTCGCAATATTTCTGAATGTATTTACGCTTTCGTCTGATATATTCACCTATTACCTATATAATATAACTTCATATAAATGTGTACTTTTCTATTAAGAATTCTGTTAGATAAAACGTCCTATCATATGAGTCATGCGTCTTTTTCAGATCATCCATCTTGGATTCAATTGATGTAAGAAATCCTACAAGAGAAGACAGTTTCCAGAAACTTGATTATTCATGAAGAGAAATATGAAATTCGCTTTCAACTCTCTTCTTTGCCAACTTGAATTATACTCGATTTTCCTTTCATGGTTGGCTTTAGCGTTTGCCTTTCTTCCCATATCTTCCACTACATAATATAATGCGTTTCTTAATTTCTTGCACATTATTAAATTTTATGACAGAGTTCGTATTAGAAATAAAATAAAATTGGAATCTAAGATATTTCCTTAATAGTAAGTCCAGGCGCTCAGATTATTCTTAATTTCCTGAATTATTAAAAAAATCCTAATTATTACTTAATTAACCCCAGAAGGCCCCAATAAAGGAAAAAGCAGTTGGCAATTAAAGCAGATGAAGAGGGCTATGTATGAAGGATATGCTATAGAAAGTGCCACTCCAAATTATAACTAATCAACGGCAATCCGTTGCAGTCTCGCAAATGGATTCTACATGTCTCATTCCATATGTGCCGGAGAGGAAGGACATGAAATCAAGCCCAGCAAGCTGAAGTCCATATTCACTCCATCAGCAAATTCTTCTATTCTGATTTTGTTTAACCTCTAACCAAGTCTAGCAAACCCAAACAGCGATGCGGAATGGTTTCTTTGTTTGTTTTGTTTTACGACACATCAAGATTTATGGATTATTTAATGCCGACAATAGTTATAGCTGGTAATTTTTTTTCAAAAAATTATTTCTAGTAAAAATGTATTTCTAGTAATAATTTTTTACCAAAAAAATATTTCCGATATTAAAACCTATTTTTACACTTTAATAGAGTTTAACCCCAGTTTAGGGTTTAATTATTTACCCATAGCTGGGACACTAACAGGTGCTACCACCCCGGGTCAGGTTGGACCTGTGAACACCAGCAATTAAGAGGTGGTTCCACGCTCCTCCAAACCTTCTCATCACAGGCCTTGCTGTTGGACGTAGTTTATCTTCTTATCCAGCACGCGGATGTAGCTTATCGCCATACCCAGCACGCGGATGTAGTTTATCGTCTTACCCAGGACGGGCGATAGGAAATGGATGAAGGGAACAAGTTTTGGTGAAACTGGAAGCACAATGGCGGCGAATTTAGTTAAGAACACCAGCATCATGAAGGAAGCGAACAATAAGAAAGAAATTACATTCTTTGATACGGGATGAAACCGATAGCGATTACTGACTTTAATTCTTTTGAGAGTTTTTGGTCTGATGTGATTTTAATTTTAGAAAGAAAAACATACAAAAAAACAAAATCAAGCTACGATTTTTTAAGTTACAAAATGTAAAAGTAGAAACCAATAAAGGGACAAATCGAGCTATGTTTTTCCTATATGTCCGGCCAGATTTTGGTAGCTCTGTATTTTTGGCTACCCCACATTCCAAACATTACGTTCCCAAGTTACCGCAACGCTGATAATGATCCATACATGACTGCTCATCGGCACAACTATGATATCAGGGCGATATCACTAAAAACGCTAGTCAGCAAATGTTATTTTTCATTAGTTTTTTCTTAGTTTAATGCTAATTACATTCTATTTTCAATAAATTACTATTAAATAAATATATTTATATTTTAATAAGATCTTCCTTTTAATAATAATCTTCCTTTAATTATATAATCTTTAAAAATTATTAAAATTATGAATATTTCTCATTCAAATATATAATGTTTCATTTTCTTTTTTTATATACATATATAACCCTGCTTATATTAATTGCTAAATATAATTTAAAAATTAAATAAACTGTAATCCCAGCATAATATATAAATATGCCAACACTGGGATGACCAGATATATTATACTTAAAAATTATTTGACGGTCAATTCATACTCAGCACCTGATGATTACACCATGCATGAAATTCAGAGTCATTATAGCGGTGAGGGATATGTATATTTATTAATATATGCCTAATAGCTCAGTTAATTTTAACCGAGCACTATTTTATTTTATTATATATATATATATATATATATATATATATATATATATATATATATATATATAATACCAATCCCATCTTTGTCTAAAAAAGTAATTTATCAAGGTCTAGTTTCATGCCGTTACAGTTGTGGGGGAGGCAAATATTCGTACACATACATTTTTTATTTATTTATTGCATTTCCAACGAATGAATAAACATACATTTCATATAATTAACTGTACACAGATGCATAAGTAAATCTTCATAGAAAATTAAAAAAAATATTGATTTAATAGAAATAAATCCCATTTACCCATTTTTATCCATTTCCTTTACTACTCTAAATTATTCAAGTTAAATATTCTAGAATGTTCTAATAATGTTATCAGTAGTAATCTTTAGCCTGAAAAATACAAACAGAACATTCTGTAATTGATATTCATGCAAGAAGGTTATCAACATGGCAAGAGGTAAAGAATTAACACATTCATAAATAGAACTGATTGTAAGCTCTGGAAAGTAGGTGAAAGTTTACAGGAAAATCTGAGACAACCTGAATATTCCATTTACTATCATTAGTTAATTCATTGCAAGGTATAAAATCTGCTGAAAACCGAAGAAGAACAAATTTCTTCAAGATCTTCCAAGAAAACTAATGTGTTAAATTAAACAGAATGCAATGGTTACTTGACAAGATGTGCAGGATGATTTGCTTTCATCAGGAATCTGTCACTAAACGGACAATAAACAATGAAATTCATAGACACATTCTAAAGTCATGCTCTCTTCGGGAAACTCCACTGCTATTAAAAAGACACAAAGATGCCAAGTTGAAATTGTTCCTGAACATAAGGGTAAGGAAAAATATTACTGGGAAAGAGTATTAAAGGCAGATGAAACCAAAATTGAGCTGTTTGGTCCTAATTCTAGAAATCATATATGGAGGAAAGATGGCGATGCATTCAAACAAAAGAACACAGTTTCAACAGTGAAATTTGGTGGTGGCAGAATCATGGTTTGCGGATGTGCGTTTTTTATGCAAAAGGTACTAACAACATATCAGTAATAAATGGTAAATTGATTTACGCAGCGTATCAAAATATTTTGGAAGCAAATGTAATGATTTCAGTTGAAATCATCAGAATTTATCTTCCAACACGATTCTAAGAACACTGCAAAATCTACCAAGAAATGGCTTACTGAAAATAATGTAATTATGCTGAAATGGCTAAGTCAGTCCCCGGATTTAAACCCATTCGAGAATCGTTATTTCAAAATTCAAGTCCAATCGAGAACTCCAACCAACATCCCGGATCTGAAGAGAATATTCGAAGAAATTTGAAATTCATTAATTGAGAACTACAAAAAGCATTTGGTTGCTGTAGAAGTGAATAATGACTATTACATATAATATTAATTGAAGATTATTTACCTTAATCTCCCATGTATAATACGCCTTCATCCATAATACGCACCCCTAAAATTGTGCTGAAAGTCTGGAAAAATACTTCTACTCACGCATAATACGCACCCCTTGTTTGCTATTCAAACCTTATAAATTTTACCTCTTCAATTTCATTACTGCCAGCGTTTCCTATTCTTATTAAAAAAATGGTTTTAAGCAAATAATAATATTCTTCTAATTTAGTTTTATGATATTTCTTATTTTATTTTAAATTTGTAAGTATTGTTAGGTAGATATGATTGTATTTGACATCCTTATGGAGTCGCAATTGCCGAATGTTAGTATCAAATTGTTTATGTTTGTGGTGAGTAGTCATTTCGCAACTGAAATCAACCTGTGAAACGGCAATTTAAAAAAAATATTTGTAGTTGTGCATAATACGCACCCTTAATTTTGCTTATTATTTATTTTTAGAAAAAATGCGTATTATACATGGGGAATTATGGCATTCTATCTTGTATTATACGAATATTTTTTCACCCATTAAGTTGGATAAATGTGATTTATTTCTATAAAATAACATTTTTTTCTGTTTTCTATGCGAATTTAGTTATTATGCATCTGTGCACAATTTATTATATGAAAAGTACGTTTAATTGGAAATACAATAAATATGAATTATATGAATTATATGAAAAGTATATTTAGTTGGATATACAATAAATTAAAAATTTGTATGTTTACATATATTTTTTCCTCCTTCACACTGTACGTATTTGGTCAGAATCGTCTGCCGTGATCCTTGTCTGGTCCACTTCCCTTAGGACATAATCAGGACAACAAATGTCTGAAACAATTTGTGGCACAGCGCAGATAAATCTATTTAAAAAGATATCGGTTGACACTGATATCGCTACACTTACTTTCTTCTCTTATAGGAATACAATACACTCTTTCAGAAAACTTGATTTCCTTTCGCGTCTTGTATTGCTGAATCTTTAGTATAAATGATCTCGTTTCATTATCAGTCACAGGACTGAGTGTGGCCATAGGTTTGCTACATGTGGTCTCTCGACCATTTCTTTACATATATCAAGGTTTAATGCCGGATAGATA